TCTAAGTCTGATTATATCTCAGTCCTGCTCAATGTCGGAGAGCTTACCATCATGCTTGGAATAAAATCCAAAGTCCTTAACATGTTCTTGGGGACCCTAACTTCATCTCTGGCTGTTCTCTGCCTTGCTGGATGTCGTCCAACCTCACTGTCATCCTCAAACTTCCTCACACAGACCAGGCAGATGCTTAGCTCAGGGCCTTTGCACGGATTTCCTCAACTGGTAGAATACTCTTTCTCCAAATAGCTACACGATCCCTTTCTTATGTCTCTTCGGCCTCTGCTCATCCCCTCAATGGTCCTTGAGTCTCTGTACAAATGTCACTTTATCAGAGCCACCTTCCCTGTCCATCCTGTCCAAAAGAGCAGCCTTTTGCCTTGCCATTACTGTCTATACTCTTAGCCTGCCTGGATTTGTCTTTACATGACATTCCATTGCAAATTTATTTCTTGTTTGTTACTCCCTACCGGAATGTAAGCTCCATGAGTGCCACAACTTGGTTGTAATCTCTATTCTAGTCTCAGAACCTGAAAGCACACACAGCACAGAGTAGGAACTTAACACATAACTGCTAAAGGAACTGTTACTCAACATGTTATTGTTAAATGAAAGCATGCAGAGATGAGTTTTCATCTCTGTATGCTCATTTCTCACCCAGTTCTTTGATCATAAAAGATGTTTAAAAAAGGACTTGCTGAATTGAATTTTATGTACATACCAAACACTATTTAATATAAACACCAGAGGAAAAACAACCAAAAAGAGGCACTTTTTCATGGAGAAATTAGGAGGGTAAAAGTCGTCATAATTTAGCTCAGTCTTTTGCTATATACTTCTGATATGATGGCCCTCCCTAGAGTATAAGGTATATTGAACTGAATATTCAAGGAAGGAGTTCAGAAACTATCACCAACAAGCCACACTGCATACACAGACCATGTATTGAGCTGGGATGCATTAATGGGAGTGAAGGGTACCAAGGTGACTGCAAGTCACTGTGCCCTGTAGTTAAGTACATCCAGCTTCAGCAGACATCTCAAGCCTGAAGCCCTTTCCAGTGTCACCTAAGTTTTTCTTCTCAATGCATTTCTCTCACTTACAAAGTACAGGTTTATTAGAAACAAACTTTTATACTTTGTTTCTAGTTTTTTAATTATCAGGGGAAGAAAAGAACCCAAAATAAATAAAAAATAAATAAAACATATAGTCTCTAATTACCCACTCTCTCTTGTCCAATATACACGAGGGCAATTTTTAAAACCCATCTTTTCTTAGTCATTCAATGGATAAATTGATGTAAAAGCAAATGTATGGAACTGAATAAGTTCATTTCACGAGTCAATTTTAAATTTATCATTTACACACTAATACTAAATGATACTCTCTTGTTCTCCCAGAATTTCCTTGAGTCCCTCTTTTTGTATATCAACCCTCTAATATCAACGGTAGCATCGACAACATCTTTTAACCTGAAAACACAAGTAGTAATCACAGTGAAACCTTTTTGGTCCTTGTGTTGCTTTTCTTGCATGGTAGATGAGTACACTTTCTAAAACAGTGGTTTTCGATTCTTGCCAACACATTGGAATCACTTGCAGAACTTTTAAAAAACACCAGTGTCCAGATCCCACCGAAGACCTTATCAGAATCTCAGAGAGTTGGACCTAGCCATAAGAATTTCTACAGTTAAGTTTCCCAGGTGATTCTAAAGTGCAGTCATAACTGAGAACAAAAGCTCTTAGCATACACAAATGTGAGTCACAAACAGATAGTGCAGGGATGAGAATAGTAGCAAGAGGAAGCTGACCCTAAATATAGATTTTGCTATGGTTAATCCACAGAGCAAGCAGGGCACAGTGGCTCACATCTGTTATCTTAGTACTCTGGGAGGCTGAGGTGAAAGGATGGCTTAAGCCCAGGAATTCAAGGCTGCAATGAGCTATGATTGTGCCACTGTACTTCAGCCTGAGTGACAGAATACGATACCATTTCTTTTTTGTTTTTGTTTTTTTTAGAGACAAGGACTCGTCATGTTGCTGAGGCTGGTCTCGAACCTGTGGGCTCAGGCAATCCTCTTGCCTCAACCTCTCAAAGTACTGGGATTATAAACGTAAGCCACCACGCCTGGCTATAATACCATTTCTTTAAAAAAAAAAAATCCACAGAGCAGATAATTTTCCTGTGGATAATTAGTTACTTGAATATAATGTTACATGATTAGATACAGCGATTGCCTTAAGTAAGAAAGACATGATATGATTCAAAACAAAAATAAATAAGTACGCTGAATAGGAATCAAGATATTTTAAAGAACTGATTAGTCAAAGGTCAAATTTACTCACAGTTTCTTCTTAATAAGCTATGCCTTAAGTCTATATTTGTATTTTATTCTTTTCTCTTTCCTGCCTCTTACTGTAATTAATGCAACAAACTCAAGGGAGAGGGAAAAAGTTCTTATTCTATTTTTCTAAGTTATTTCCTAAATGGTTTCCTTTTTTTCTTTTCTTTCTTTTTTTTTTTTTTTTTGGTGGTGGGTCATGAAGAAAAGATTGAAGGTGGTTCAGATTCAAGACACTGTAGGGAACCTAGACATTCATGAAGGAATGAGTGGGAAACCTAGGCCTTCAATAAAAAGACAAGGTAAGGTAAAGAAAAGATCTAGGTAGACAAGAAGTAACAGGAATGGACAATGAGTATTGTCTAATCTCAAGGGCACTCTGAAGAAATTCTGCTTACATACTCAACTCTGGTACAAAATTCTGGTTACACTGAATTTTTCCACCACCAATTGCTTTCAACAATTTCTAAGCTGAGCATCTAATTGATCAAAAATAAATAGGTGAAGCTAAAGAACAAGTTAATACTCTATAAATGCTACAACACAATTATAACCTGGATAAAGAGATATATATTGGTTTGACTGAGGAAACTTTGACTAAACTGACAGGTACCATATTTTTCTCCAGTTCTGTCATTTCCTAAATATTTCACTTTTCAAAATGTTATTTTGTTCAGGTACTTTTTCTAAATAACTGCTGTCAAGATCTGAACTGGCACTAGACAAAAACACATTATTTGCAGAAGAGAGAGGAAAAAAAGAGGGAAGAAATCTTAGTATTACATAAAGCATTATGATTGCTTCCAAGTGACTTAAAAATCAATGTCCTAATGATTCTAATTTACTTTTTCTGCCAGATCCTTCAAGATTGCCTGGAAATTGTAAAGCAGTGTTTTGTAAAAAATTATAATTTGTCAGATATTAGCCATTTGCTGGTATATGTATATGTAACTTAATAGTACCTGAACCACTATCTTAAAATAATTAGCAATGCTTCACCAACTGCAACAACTTCTAAATGATGAACAATCACATAATTTCTAAATCATAACTATTGCTTGGAATCTTTTTTTGATACTATTGGTTTAATTCTGAAAAAAATATGCTTCTAAAACCCTGAGTTTTCTTTTTTTATTCCTGAGCATTAAACAGATTAACTTACATTTGGTCTAAGACATTATTGCTTCTTCAAGAGCGTATTCAAGAACATTATACTCTAAGTTCTACATTCTAAATTCTTATTCCTACCTTTACTGCTTATGCATTATTTTTTAAGGTAAATGAATATTCATTTGTCAGCAGGAGTACTTTTCTGAGAGGAGTCATATTTTTTAAAGGAATTTTTTTTTTTTTTAGTTTTCCAAATTCAACAATTTACGGTTGGAGATATGACCACAAGTTTTACTGCAGAGTCACGGTAAGCTTATTTTAAATACTTTAAAAATATTAATAATGCTTTTTCTTTTTGATGAATATAAATATATCTTTTCACATTTAAAAGAAAGTTTTCCTGTGCACACGATACATTCCCTTTTGAACTGTTTTCATGCTTGAACTTCAAGCACATTCCTCACAAGGAGGTAAAATACCAGTAACTTTTTAAGATGCACACCTTTTACTTTGAAAGCTAAGCAATAAGCAGAGTAGAAAAGACCAAGAGAAGAAAAACAGAAAATCCGTCTTGCAGAACCAGGTGCACTACAAAGCACAATTAGTTCACAGACTGAGGACACTGCTTTTTATAAGTTTTTTTCCTCCACAGGGAACAGTTTTCTGAGTCTCCCTCTCCCTGCTCTCCATCCTGTGAGTCCCAACCAGGTGTTTCATTTTTTTTTCCCCCTTTCCTTTTTTTTTTTTTTTTTTTTTTTGTTCTTGCTTGCTTGTGAGACCAAAAGAAACTGTCAGGGAAAAAAATATTGGGATACATTTCACTGAGGTTTTTCTATATTCAGTAAATTTGTTCGCAGACCGCTCCTGACTGTCCCTAGACACATGGGGAGTCACTAGCCTCCCTCTAGACCCTTCTGAGAATCTATTTCATGAAAACTAGAAGCCCTCTGTATCCTCCACAATGAACCCATACAGAATTTCACATTTGATAACGGGTCGTTTGTCAATCCCCAAAACTCTTCTGTGGACCCCAAGTTAAAAACGTCTGTTTAGCGCAAGGAACTCTCAACTTTCGAGGGTCCCCTCGACTTTTCAAGGAAGGTCATTCTACCTAAGTTCTAGATGCGACCAGTTGAAGTTCGGACCTTGACCGTGCGCAGGAATCGGGGAATATCCGCTACTCCCTGACTTTAAAAGGAGGAAAAGTTAACTTTCTCAGTTCCATGCATTTCTCCAAACCCCGTCCAGCAGGCGCAGGACCTGGGCTCTGGCGAGGCCTCAAAACCGGAGCCCCAGCAAGACAGGTGTGTTGAAATGAGCCTCTGGGCACCACGGGTGGCGGCGCACAGACCCACCTGACGGACCGGAGCCTTGGGGCCCCCTGATGGGACTCATTCCTGGTGTGAGCACAGCCCTAGCAAGCGAGCCCAGTCCGAGCCCACCCCGCGCGGGTCTCACACCGCCGCGGACCCGGAGCCCCAGGAGCTCCGCCGGAGCGCGGCGCCCTTCGCGGGAC